TACTTGCTATGTATAGTCTCGGAGGGAATGCGAAATATGCATCAGAGAGCCAAGGAATGCACCGGCCATTATTCTCACTCTAACTCCGCGGGAGCTCAGAGACACGGTTTCCTTCGGCTGGATGGGTCTCAGCCTGGGGAGAGGGCTCTGGTGTTTATCGTCATTCCAGTGGCTACAGTGTCTCCTTCAGTTGTGACCCGTAAACCCTGCCTTTATTTCTGCTCCACTTGTTGCATGCAATTTTGGGAAGGGCTTGGGTACAGAGGCTACACGTTCGATGTAGGGAATATATAGAAAGTAAATAAATAGGATCCGTTCGATTAATGGTGAGGCGCAGAAATGATGTTCTGTGGGAAACGGTGGTGGACTCTGTAGGTTGGTAGGGCTGGAAAGTGTTAGTTCTGAGAACTGTGGGCTAAACTCCTTGTTTTCCAAAGGGGAAACAGTTCTATGAATGTCCATGCAGTAAGTAGTACAGGGCTCCAGGATTTTATGGGACTTCTGAGGTCTTTTAAGAAAACTTCCCATTAAGCTGTCATCCTTATCCATGTCATCAAACACTGTATTACCCTTTGGCTCGGCTGCCCTGGATTGCTAGGGGAGAAGGCAGATGTGATCACAGTAGAATCCTATCTTGCTCCTCGTCATATCTCTAGAGCCTAGAAGTGTGCCTGGCACCTGGCAGACACTCAGTAAATATTTGCTGAATAGGTGAGTAGAGGAGGGCAGGGAAGAGAAAGGGAATGAGTGACTGCTGTCTACATGTCTAGCACCGGGTATGGTATGTTTCAAGTGCTCTGGTCATGGTTACCAACAATCTCCATCGTGCCAAATCCCATTTGTCCTTCTCTGTCTCCCTCTTGCTCGGCCTCCCAGCAACATACTCTCCTCTTCCGTCAACTTCCTTGACATCACTCTTTCCTGGTTTTCCTCTTACCTCACTCACTGCTTTTGTTCCTCTGTTCTGCTTGTAAATGCTGGCATGCCCGGCACTTGGTCTTAGTTCTGCGCCTCTGTTTCCACATTTTCTTCCTGGATGATCTCATCTACGGTCGTAATGGCTTCAGAGACCAGCTTTCTTCATTGATTTTCCAATTTTTCTCTCTAGCCTCAGGCTCCTGTGCTACAGATGTAGACATTGAATTGTGTACCGGATAGTTCCTTTTTCACATATAATACGCATCTCAACCATAAACTGGACAGGAAAGGACTCTTGAGTCCTTCCCCCAAACCTGTCCCTCCCACAGCCTTCCCTGGACTCCTGAGATAGTTTCATGGATTCTTTGGTCTCCTGATGATCTGTATTTCATTGCAACCAGAATGATCCTTTAAAAACGATAACACAGTTCCATCTTACAACTCTTAACTGTAGTTAATAATACTGTATTGCATATTTGAAAGTTGCTCTTAAAAGTTCTCATTCCAAGAAATAAAATTTTGTAACTCTATATGCTAACTAGACATATTATGGTGTGATCATTTCATAGTACTATAGTCTCCTCTTATCCAAGTTTCTACTTTCCATGGATTCAGTTACCGATGAGGTTAGAAAATATTAAATGAAAGATTCCAGAAATAAAGAATTGATAAGTTTTAAATTGGGTGCTGTTCTGAGTAGTGTGATCAGATTTTGTGCTGTCTTGCTCCATCCCACTCCGGACATGAGTCTTCCTTCTGTCCAGCCTGTCCATGCTCTTCATGCATGAGTCATTTAGTAGCCATCATCAGCATGGTTTCGCAGTGTTTGTATTCAGGTTATCCTTATTTTACTTAATAATGGCCCCAAAGCACAAGAGTAGTGATGCTGGCAATTTGGATAGGCCAAAGAAAAGTGCTTCATTTAAGTAAAAGTTCTTGGCTTAATGAGGAAAGAAAAAAAATGTAGTAAGCTGAGCCAAGCTGGAGTGGCTAAGTGGTTGAGTGTCACCCTATGAACCAGAAGGTAATTGTTCATTCGATTCCTGATTAGGGCACATGCCCCTGGTTGGGTTGGGGGTAAGGAGGGGGGGTTGGGAGGGTGGGTTGAGGTGGTACAGGAGGCAGCTGATCGACGATTCTCTCTCATCATTGATGTTTCTATCCCCTCTCCCTTCCTCTCTGAAATCAATAAAAACACATTTTAAAAGATGTAGTATGTTGAGGTTGCTAAGATGAACAGTAAGAATGAATCTTCTATCTGTGAAATGGCCCAATTTATAAGTTAAACTTTATCATAGGTATGTATGTCTAGGAGAAAACAAATATCTAGGATTCAGTAGCATTGGTTTCAGGCATCCATTGGGGGTCTTGGAACATGTCCTTCTCTGTAAGGAGGGGCATAGTACATGCAAATATCAAATCACCGTGTTGTCCATCTGAAACTCATAGAATGTTATATGTCAATTACACCCCAGTAGATCAGAATAAAAATAGCTCTTCAGTGGCTCCCAGAACACCTCTGATGCTGACTGCCCACCATGGCCTGCATGGCCCTGATTCCTCGGGCCTCTCTCTCCAGCCTCAGGGACCTCATTTCCGTTCCTGGAACATCTAAACCTGTTCCCACCTGAGGGCCTTGCACTTGCTGTTCCCTTTGCTTGGAATGCTTTGCCCCCAGATCTTCAAATGCCTGGTTCCTTCATATCATTTTCTTCTCTGCTCAAAAGTTACGTCCTCAGCAGCCTCATCTGAACCACCTTATGCCAGGTAGCCCACAGTCTCCTTGAATTTCCTACAAAGCACTTAATGCCGTCTCCGATGACCTTGTTTACCTATTTATTATTTTGTTCTCAGGAATTGTCTGTCTTACTCACAGATGCGTCCCCCTCCCTCTGGAGAGTGCCAGGACATAGCAGTGGCTGGAACAGCAAATCAGTGTGTCATTCATTCTTCATGGGAAAGGCTCAGAGAGGGCTGGCAAGAGACTTGACTTCTCAAGTTTTCAAGGCATTGTTTTTTCTACTGTAATTCTGGTGGCTGATCCAAATCCTATTTGTATTTAAATTTTATATTTTTAGCTTTAATACAGAGAAGGAACTAGATATTTATCAGGATGAATTATTGCATGCATGTCCTGTATCCCTGAAAGAAAATGCTCTGCAAGGGTCCAAAGGTAATGGATTTCTTAATGGCATTGTGCACCAACAAGTGTTCGGGTAAAAGGAATCAGGAAAGAAGAGAGGAAAGAAACTTACCTTTCTTAAACATGTACTAGGTGCTAGGCACAAAACTGAGTACTTTCACATTGGTTACTGAATTTGAATCTGAAAGCGGTCCTGCAAGGTCGATATTAGTATCCTGATTTTATAGATGGAAACATGGAGGCTCAAAAAGTTAATTCTTTGTCCTGGGTGATGCAAGTATTAAGTGTTAGACCGAGATTTTTAAAACCCAGGTCCACCCGACACCAGACTTCTGATATCTTGTGCTAAGATGGTTGTTTGCAAGATGGATATGCTCCTAAAATAAAGATGAGGAAAATGAGATTTCACTGCATATATATATATATATATATATATATTTATTTATTTATTTATTTAAATATATTTTATTGATTTTTCACAGAGAGGAAAGCAGAGGGATAGAGAGTTAGAAACATCGATGAAAGAGAAACAGCTGCCTCCTGCACCTCCCACCCCCAACTGGGTTTGTGCCCTCAACCAATGTACATGCCCTTGACCGGAATTGATTCTGGGACCCTTCCGTCTGCAGACCGATTTTCTGTCCACTGAGCCAAACCAGTTTCGGCCATATCCACATATATTATAACAAGTATCTGAAACACAAGAATAAGTTATACAGGCAATATGGAAAAGACCCATAGTGCTCAATGCCTGACCATTGAATAGATGGATGAACAGAATACAGAGGAAAACATTGGCGGCACTCATGTATGGTCTGACATAGAGCAGCTGTCCCCGGAAAAAGTTCTTTGTTTCTAGACCAGGCCGACACAAGCAGCATTTGAGCAATTGGGGATTTCTTTCTGCTTTCACTATAAATAGAGTGTGTGGAGTTCTGCGTGTCAAAGTCAATGCAGTGAAAACGGGTCACAGAGTAAGGAAACAAACCTTAGCTTGCTCCATAAACTAGAAACATGCTTGGCACCGGGAGGCTGTAACAACACTGTCATCACTTGGATGGGTCCTGAGGTCTTATTTAGCAAGTGAAACTGCAGAGAGGATCCTATTATGTAAGGTGACAGGAGGACAGCATAATGTGGCTCCGAAAGGAAGCACTGGGTGCCCTTCATGGAAGAGTTAACAGGACAGGCATACCCAGGGAGAGGCGTGCGATGAGAATGTGGAACCTAAATGAATGGGTGGCATATATGTGCGTCTGTTGCCGACACCGCGTTGCTGGATAATCCTCAGATGTCAGATTTCCGTAAGGCCAACATGTGACTCAAAGCTTGCCACTCCACAGAGCATACTGGGCTGTGCTGGTATTCAGAGGCTGGCTGGGAGCTAGGCTCTCACTGTGCACTAGCCTACCTCCCTGCCACTCTCTGTGTGTGGGTGGGTGTGCATGCGTGTGTGTGTGTGTGTGTGTGTGTGTGTGTGTGTGTGTGTGAGGGCATACGTTTTCATGCAGTGGGCGTTTAAAGAGCTCGGCAGCGAGGCTGGATTTCCACAAGCGATCATCACGAGCGCTCCAGACATACCAAACTTCCTCTCTTGGTATTTTTTTCTTTCCTTTTTTTTTTTTTTTTTCCTCAAATGCAAATCCCGGAGGGGAGCACCCCCCACCGTCCAGCCTGCGGGATTGAGATGATTTTCTCTCACCTGTCCATGTGGGTGGCCTCTCAAGGTTAGGACTGAAGCCATGTGGGACTGGAGCGTGCTCTACCACCAGAGGAGAGGAGCTGCGTGAAGAAGCGGCAGTCCCCAGACGAAGAGTGGCTGTGCCCCGCTAACATGAACGACAGCTTGCAGGTCAACCTGCCCAGAAGCTGGGCTGCTTCGAGTGGCTCCCTCCAGGAGAAGTCTGAGCATTCTTTCTTTCTTTTTTATTACTATAGGATGGAGGATGAAGCTGTCCTGGACAGAGGGGCTTCTTTCCTTAAGCATGTGTGTGATGAAGAAGAAGTAGAAGGTGAGCTTTTTGGGGTCCAGGGAAGTATAAATGCATATGCGTATGTCTTTGTAGATAGTAGCATTTGTCCGTTTTGTGTAGCTTGTATTTTTTTGAAGTTAAAACCCAAAGCTTTTCGATGAGTTTCACTAATCTCCCCAGTTTGCTTCAACACAGAAAGTAATTTTAAGAACTCCATCGGACCATCAGAATCCGAGTCTGTGTAGTTCTGCATGGTTTTAAAAAAAAGGAATGGGGGTCTTACGTTGAAGCAGGTGAATCTTTGTAAAAAAGATTTTTTTTTTTGCCAGAAAATATAAGCCACCTTTCAGTGACTAATTCAAGGAAGCTGCTAGGTTTATATAAATGTGTTTGGTTGAATCTTCTCCTGTTCTTTCACATAGCTTGCAAAGTAGAGAAACAGATGTTACAGAAGGAGACAGATACAAGTGTGGCCAGGAAGAGGGGTATAAGCTGAGGATGTAAAGAGTGGTAATCATGGATGAGTCTCAGGAAAAGATAGACAAGCATTTTTTACTTAAAAACGCCCCAGGATCTCTTTTGCTACTGTTCCCAGTCCTGTTAAAAACCGGATAAAAGTTAAATTTTAGCTCATATTATGATGCTTTTAAATGTGTCTCTCTTGACTCATCAAAAAATGTGGAATAATGCTATTGATTTGATAGTGAGAAAGAAGACTTAATATTTGTTAAAGTAATTATCTGAAGGCATCACAGATATGCAAGATGTTATGAATATTTATAATGAGATTTAAAAAATAATCAGTACTCATAAAATTAAATGAAACTTGCAGGTGAACCATGTCATAAAATCTGCCTGTTAAAATCACCCGAGAGACACCTTATATGTGTTTGGAAACTCTAGTTTTATTAGTGCCATTTGGTCAACATTTAATGTATACCAAGATCTTGGACCAGAAGGTTGGTGGGGTGAGGAGAGAGGGGGTGGTATTATGTGTTCTGGAGTGATTCTCCAATCAGACTCATCCCAGGCAAGTGATGCTTCTGTGCCACCTCGTTTGAAAACTCTGACCATGGTGTTTTTTCTCACATTTCCTTCATAAGTTTCTTCTGACCATGCAGTGTTGGAGGGTAGGTTACCCCCTCCACTTTGCTACTTCCTGCAGTTGTACTCTTGAGACTAATAAGAATTTGATACCTAAGTTTCTTAGGAAAAAGGAAACTACAGTATTTTCTTTCATATTGTTTTATGGGTTCCTTGCACTTTTACAACATGACTGTGGGAAAATGTCAAGTTCGTGAAAGCAAAATAGTAAAACTTTTGTCTTGAGGTTCTTACAACCCGTGATGTTAAGTGTCCATTGTCACTGTCCCAGGGTCAAAGAGGAGATAAGAATATTAAAGTTATAGTATATGTATGTAAGAAATATTGCAGGATTGAAAGAATTATTCTATAGTTTCAGGACAATTAAAGTAGAAAAATCAGTGAGGAAGTTTGAGAATGAGATGTGTGTGTGTGTGTGTGTGTGTGTGTGTATGTGCACGCGCATGTGTGTTTTCCTAGAGAATAATGTTCTAGCTAAGTTCACAGCAGATGTAAATCACTTTCTTTAGTGTGTAACTTCTGTGGGACTGACAGCACCCTACTGCAATTGGATATTGTACACCGGTTTCATAAGGCTTTGACTAAGAAGTTAATTTCCTGAAGTACTAGTATTTCCTTTGATTTTTAGGCACAAAATTAAGATGACAATTTGATGGATAGCCCAATCAGTAGCCAGGTTTCTCTAAGGATAAACAAAAAAGACAACAAAAGGAAGTAGAAATCTATAAAATTGTTTGGCTTTGTGGTGATTAAACTTGCCACATGGATTTTGTGTATTTTACTGTTCTGAGACTTCTATTATAATGATTATCATTCATGTTGGTTGGAGCCTGAGTTGATTATATTTCTTTCAAGGCATGTTTAGCCAGTTGCCTGTGGTTGAGTCCCTAGGGCCTATAGGATTGTTATCTGTGTTATTGTATCATTATTTGGGGGAGAACACCCAACAGTACAGGCTCCTGTACAGTATACCTCGTAGAACTCCAATAGAAGCTCTTAGTTTCTAATTCTGTGCCCACCCAATGGACCCTCTCATTTTCTCACCTGGCTCCATCTGGTCCGGGTGGGAGCAATTGTTATAGTGACTCTAGGTGAAAGTATAAAGAAGTTGCAGTGGACAGGGGTGTGATGACTTATCTATGCCCACAGTGGTTGAGCATGAAGAAGCAGATGACTTGACTGCCAAGACCTCTATGAGAATTCTTTCATATCTTGAGTGGGAATGTACTCCTCAAGGACATAAGTTTCCCTCATATTTTTAATTGCACGGAGAAGGGTGTACTCAAAGGGAAGCAAACTGTTATCTCAGAACATAAGATAGGTGAGTTCTGGTACATTTATGGCAGAAGGAAGTGCTCCAGATTTAAGGATGAGGAATCCAAAGGTTAAAGGAGTTGGAACACCTTCCATTTTTATTACCAAACAAAAATTTTTTTAATGCAAGCAGTTATTTCTCTTGCTTCTAAGATAAACATGATTGACGCATATTGCAGCACACTTGGCAAAAGCAAACTTATCATTAAAACTTGGTCTTTTAAAGCAATTTGCACAAATAAGATGCACTTCCATTAAGTGATTATTAGGGTGACAAAGGTCCAGTGGCTCTAGTTACTTTGAAATGTTCATGCTTTTAAAATTCTTCTCAGACCCTGGAATTTGGGGGCATTGGCTTAAGCTTAGCCTGAAGCAAAAAGAGCCCGGGGCTCTCTCATATGTCCTGCTGCTGTAGTTCTGAGCAGGGGAGGGGGGCGGGGACCTCAGCCCCGCCCTCAGTTCACCTGGTTCAACTTTACTCTCCGTGGGTGGCATGACACTTAATCCACCATCTGAAAACTAGCAGAATACCATCAACTGCAAAACTCACTCAGAACAGTGAGTCAAAAGAGGAGTCATCTTCTTTTTAAATAATGAATTCATCTGTGTGGGATATATTTAAAGACCTAAACCTACTTTTCACATAATTTGCCTTGCGCTTTTGTGTTAGTGGTGGTGTAAAGATACACTCTTTAAAAAGGTAACCAAGTGACAATTTTTAATCTTTAAAATAAAGAGAAGCTTTATTTTCGCTCGTTGCTTAGTGAAGTAAGTCACAGAAAAAGTTCAGAACCATATGATTCCACTCATATGTGGGATATAAAACTGAAAGCAGCAAACGGACAAGAAAAACAAACAAAATCTCATCAACACAGACATCAGTATGGTGCTTACCAGAAGGAAGGGGGTATAGGGATGTTATAAAGGGTGAAAGGAGTCAAGTATAAGGTGATGGAAGATTACTTGACTTTGGTTGCTGGACACACAATGCAATATGAAGATTATATATCATGGAAGTGTACACATGAAACCTATGTAATCTCATTAATCAATGTCACCCCAATAAATTTAATAAAAAGAAAAATACAAAAAAAGAAAGAGAAGCTTTAACATCTGTTCTTTCATTGGTTATACTATTCTGTGTATGGCTTTGTGGAGTTAGCATTTTTGGCTCTGAGTGGCTACTGTGGATAGACTCATTTAAAAAAAATCAACGTTTAATATAATCATATTTGTTTCTGTACCAAAAGACTCCATCTCCAGCCCAGGTAGATGACAAATTGATGTTACCAGTATGACCGAGAAATATTGACTGTGAGAACTTCACTTGTTTTCACTTCAAACGCACACAGAGCGGGGAGACGGGCCAGTTTTGTGGCGTGAACCAAAGTTGAGATAGGAGAAAGAGCCCCAGGTATCCGTTTCCAGAGGGATATCTTATACATGTTTCATCCTTAAGAAAGTCAGCCAGCATTTCGGATCTGTATGATGTAAACAGATTACTTAATAATCTCATATTTCGCAATCGGGGGGAAAAGAACAAACTCCACCTTATCCTTTGAGATAAGGCCTTGGCTCTGCTATGCTCGGTACCTTCCCAAGCAAGCCATGGCTCTCTGACGTTATAGGGAGGGGCCTTTTCTTAACCTCAAGTCTGACCAGCGACGCAGGAAGCGTAAAGTACAGCAAGACAATATTGGCTGAAATGAGTCTCCACTTCTAAAGTCCCATTGGTGCCCCCAGAGTGATTCTGACATAGTGTGGTGGCTTTCCTCTCCCATTCAGAACTAAGGCCAGCAGGAAGTGAGCTCTCCTCCCTCCAACAGGAAGAAGAATCAATGCAGAGTCCCAGGTCTGCGGGTGGACATTGAGAGAAGGCTGTTGGAAATGCATGGAATTTTACCGGAGAATTATTTTTAGGGAAGTAAAAGTAAAAAAAAAAAAAAAAAGTAGGACACTGTCTGGAACAGAATAAACATTTACCAAATATTTGTTAAAAGAAAAGGGTGGCTAAAGGAATGCATAATATAAACTAAAGAAAGCATATGCAGGATTACTTTACATAATACTCTAAAGTCTGTTTAGATTTTTAGAGAGAAATTTGATTCTCAGTAGTCTTAGTCCAGCAAGATGATAAGAGTTTCTAGTGAGTTTAATTTTGCAAAGCTGACTGCCATTTATATCATTTATATACTTACTTTGATAAGACAAAGAATCCTCTAAAACACCTCTCTGCCTTATTTTTCTTTTCCTTCTTCAGCTCTTTTGAGGAGAGAGACAGAATGATTAAATGGTAGCTGTTGTCTCTTTGGAAGCCAGGATCTCAACATTTTACAGACATGAAATCATAATGACTTAAACCTACTTTTCACCAGAGAATATTAGGTGTATTTATGTGTATTGGAGGAGATAGTATTCTAAAGAAAAAGTGGAGCCTGGCAGACATTTGTTAATAATTACAGTGGTAAAAAGCAGGAGTGAATGCAAGCCTATTGGATGAGGGGGTGGGGGAGATGGCTGAGTTGGAGCTGGGCTATTCTGAGCGCTGGATATAAGTGTCCAGTTGCATTTTGCTGACCTCTTCTCTGCTGGTTACTCTAATTTCTCAGAAACTGTGTGTG